CTTTGCAGTCTACCTTCAAATGGTGTTATACCACATCACATTTAGTACAAGAACCTTACAATAGCATACTTCTATTTCTCCCTGCTGGCCTTTGTGCTATTAATGTTATGCATTTTACTTTTACATATGCTATAAATGCCAAATCACCATGTTATTATTTTTATCTAAGCATTAATAATCATTCAAAGAGATTTAAATAATAAGTCTTATATATTTATATCCGTGGTGCTCTTCATTCCTTGTGTAAATTCGTATTTCCATCTGGTATCATTCTTCTGCCTGAAGGATGTCCTTGAACACTTCTTGTGGTGTGGATCTGCTGGTGTTCATTCTTTCAACTTTTGTGTGTCTGAAAAAGTCTTTTTGTCACCTCCTTTTTTGGAAGATTTTCTCCAGGTGTCAAATTCTACACAGACAGTTTTTTTTCTTTCAGTACTTTAAAGATTTTGGTCCACTATTTTCTTGCTTGCATTGTTTCCCATGAGAAGTATGCTGCTATTGTTATCTTTGTTCCTGGGTACAGTTTTCCCTGGGTATATGCAGGGATTGGTTCTAGGACCCCCCACAGATACCAAAATCCAAGGATACTCAGGTCCTTTATATAAAATGGTGTAGTATTGCATATAACTTACGCACATCCTTCCATATACTTTAAATCATCTCTAGTTTACTTATAATACCTAATACAATGTAAATGCTATATAAATAGTTGTTATACTGTATTATTTAGGGAATAATGACAAGAAAAAAAAGTCTGTACACGTTCAGTACCGATGAAACCATCGTAGGCCTTTTGATCCACAGTTGGTTGAATCCACAGATGCGGAACCTGCAGATATATAATGTCTGTTTTTTTCTAGCTGCTTTTAGGATTTTCTCTTCATCACTGGTTTCAAGCCATGTTATCATGATGTGCCTTGGCATAGTTTTCTTTATACTTCCTGTGCTTAGTGTTTGTTGAAGTTCTTAAATCTGTGGGTTGTAGTTTTCAAATTTAGAAAATTTTGCTATTATTTCTTCAAATATTTTTTTTTGCCTCTCCCCCTCTCCCTAATGGACTTCAATTACATGTATATTAGGCTGCTTGAAATTGTCCCATGGGTCGTGGATGCTTGTTTCATTTTGTCCTTATGCTTTTTTCTCTGTGTTTCATTTTGGATAGTTTCTCTTACTGTATCTTCAAGTTCATTAATCTTTTCTTTTGCAACATCTAATCTGCTATTAATCCCATCCAGTGTGTTTTACATCTCAGACATTATAGTTTTCACCTCTAGAAGTTGAGTTTGGGTCTTTTTTTATATCTCCCATGTCTCTACGTAACCTTTTGAACATATAGAATCCAATTATAACTGTTTTAATGTTCTTAACTGCCCTGTGTCAGTTCTGGGTCAGTACCAATTGATTGATTTTTCTCCTCATTATTGGTTGTGTATTTTTGCTTTTTTGCATGTCTGCTAATTTTTTATTGGATGCCAGACATTATGAATTTTACATTGTGTGCTGGATAGTTTTAGATTTCTGAAAATATTTTTTGCTTTGGGACATAGTTAAGTTTCTTAGAAATAGTTTGATCTTTTTGAGTCTTTCTTTTAAGATTTGTTTGGTGGAATCAGACTAGTGTTTAGTCTAGGGCTGTTTATTCCCCACATTGAAGCAAGACCTTTCTGAGTACTCTACCCAATACCCTGTGAATTATGAGGTTTTTCCAGTCTGATTAGTGGGGACAGGCATTATTACTGACTTGGGTGAGTGCCAGTCATGGTTTTTGTAATCTTTTCTGGTCGTTTTCCCCTAGCCTTGTATAGTTTCCTTGTATGCCTGCTCTGATCAGTACTCTGGTGCATACTCGATTGGAACCCTCTGCTAATGTCTGTGATTCTCTCTCTGTGCACCTCTCTACTCTCTAGTAGTCTGTCATACAAACTCTAGCTGCCTATTCTTATTCATGAAAATTTGTTTCCTTTTCTGCATCCCTCCCCCATCTTCCCCAGCTCATTTTGGAAGACTCAAGGCTATCAACTTTGAGGACTTTTCCCCCAGAAGTAGTAATCATTTTTAACCAGTCCTCCCACATTCCCTTCATGATTAATGTAAAGTATTTGCAAGCTGACTGGGGTCAGAAGTGTGGTTTGATGAGTATGTTACAATATGAGCTAATTATTATTCTTTGTTTCCTTATCTATCAACTACATATTTGCTGAGTTCCAGCTGTGTTCCCAGCATCATACAGGGTGCTGGGTGTTAAGTAGAAAGTGAGAACAATATTATTTCTGAATGGTTGATATTCTAGCAGGGGAAATAGAACAGGTCTCATGAAATATCAAGAAAAATGTAAAAAAAAATTTTTTTAATTCACTAGATGTTTAGAGGTGAGAGAAAGTAGTATGATCTGGGTGGTCAAGGAATGCATTCTCTAAACTGGGCCTGAAAAGTGTTTTAAAAATGTATAAATTTTTAAAACAGAAGTCACTTACAAAATATAATGGAAGAAAAGATGCTATTTTGATGGCCAAACAGATTTTACAGGCATGCACTTAGCAAGAAAAGTTCAGAATTTATATGATGAAAAGCTATAAAAACTCCCAAACATACACATATAGACTTGGACAAATGTAAAGATATACCACATTCTGGGTAGGAAGACTCAATGTCGTAAGGATGTCAGTTTTTTCTAAAACAATTTATAAATTTAACATTATCCCAGTGAAAGTATCAACAGATTTTGCCTCCTAGGACTAGACAGATTATAAAGTTCATCTGCAAGAGCAGACAAGCAAGAATAGGTAGGAAAACCCTGAAATTGAAGATCAGTAAGGATGGGAGGCTGGACCTGCTAGATGTTAGAACATATTATGAACCTTTATAAAAAAAAAAAATATAGCATTGGTACAGAAATAGACAGACCAACTGAAAAGAATAGAAAATACAGAAATAAACCTAACTGCATGTGGAAATTTAGTCTGTAATAAAGGCAGCACCCTAAAATCAATGGAGAAAATATGAAATTTTTAATGTGATATTTGTGATACTGGGATAGCCAATTGGGAAAAGATGAGTTTGGATCCATCTCTACACCAGGATGTTAGTATAGAAAATAACACCATACTAAGTATTAGAAGAAAACATGGGTAAAATCTTTTATGACCTATGGATGGGGAAAAGTTTACTCTGACTCCAAATCCAGAAACAAAAAGAAAAAAACATAGATAAATATAATGACATACGTGTCATTATGTGTGTGTATGCACTTATATATGTATGTATGTGTATATGCACATATATACACATACGTATGCACACACATACACACTCTCTCTCTTTCTTTTGCATAACAGAAAGCACCATAATCAAAGTAAAAAGACAGTGACAAACTGAAAGAATGTTTGCCACTGATATCATGAACAGTGGGTTAATCTCTCAAATATATCAAGATCCTCTAAAACTGAAGAAGAAAAGGACCAATAACTTTATAGAAAGATGGGCAAAAGATAACAGTGAGTTGATCAAAACAAATACAGATTAGCCTTATATGGAAAGGTGCCCAACCTCACTTATGATAAGAGAGAGACAAATTAAAACAGCACAAGATATCATGTCCTTTTTTTTATCCAGTTGGCAAAAGTCCAGCATTTTGACAAATACTTTGTTGGTGACAGAAATAGGTACTCTCAAGCATTGCTTCTGGGAATGCAAAATGGTACAACTTCAGAGAGAAATTTAGCAATATTAAACAAAATTACACATATCTTTACCTTTTGACCCAGTAGTCCTATGTCTAGGAATCTGTCTTACAGATATATACTGGGAAATATCTGAAAATATGTGTGCACAAAGCTACTGTGTCACTATTTCTAGTAGCAAAAGACTGGAAACAATCCAAATTTTGATCTTGATTGGAACAAAACAACTATAAAAAAAATTTGACACTGTTGGGGAAATTTGAACACTGACTGGGTAGTTGATTATATTACATTTTTTAGATGTGATAATGCTATTATGGTTATGTTTAAAAAAAAAGAGTACCTTTTAGAAATATTTGATATGTTACAATCCATTACAGTTATTATTTGTTTTGATATTCGAATTGATCCATCTTTAGTCAGTGACTGCCCCTTGAAGTTACCTTCTGAGTCCTTCTGCCACATCTTCTAGAGATAATTACTTAAGTATTTATGGATGAAATTTTATGATTGGAATTTGTTTCAAAATAATCCAAAGGTCAGGGTGAGTGGGGAGGTAGAGATGAATTAAGATTTTCCTTGAGCTGATAATTGTTTAGTCTGGGTATTAGGGGTTTTGTTATACTGTTTTATCTTCTTTTGTATACATTTGAAATTTCCCGTGAAAATGTACAGAGTTTAAGTAGGCATACATGAAGAGAGTGCATTTGGAACAAAGTCTTTGAGACCAAGGTGGGCAACTGGACATGAAGTTCTTATACAATTTTGTCTTCCTGGTAAATTTAAAACAGAGTCCCTTTATTTTCCACTGTAGCTTATTTGTGGTTTAGTTAGCTGGTGTCTTTTTTTGTGTGTGTGTGATGGAGGGTTTAAGATATATTTTTCTGTTAGCATAATTCTAAGCATTAAACTGACTCATAAAGAAGGAAGTTATTTGTTTATTGGCCCTCATTATAGGGCCTTGGATTATCAAAAGAATTGATTTGGAGGAAGTGAAATTTTTCTCACACTGTTTATGAGTGCCATATTATCTTTCAAATTATGTTTGGACATGAATTTAGGTATACCAGGAAAAGAGAAAACTGAGAGTGGAATTTTTCTTTTTTTCAGATTTAACATTGAGATTGTTCATTTAGTAATTTTTAAGCATGTCATTTTAATAACTTATAAGGAACCTAGGTTATACGAAATTACATATAGGAACAAAAATCTATCTTCCTCTAAGCATTTGAATGTCTTAGAAAGATAGATAATATGGTTTATTTGTGATATCTAATTGCATCAAGCATGATCATTTTAACTTGTTTCCCATTCTGCCAACAGATTAATATTACAATTAGAAGCTTGTATCTTTTGCTGGATATTGGAAATTGAATGTAATGGCATCAGAATTTATAAAGAGTTGCTGTAAAGGATGTTTCTATGGTGAAACAGAAAAGCACAACTGTGAGTTTTGCTTTGTTTTGACTTCAACAAACATTTATTTAATGTTTTCTTTATTTTTTGCATTTTGTAATATAAAGAGAAATGAGACATGTTTCCTAACTTCATGGGGGAAGGCAGAAACGTAAATATAAGGCACACTAGGTAAGTATTAAAGTACCCTGGAGCATAGGGGAGAAAAAGATGAATTCAGCCCAAGAGACACCCTGGGACATCACCACAAATAAGATGGCATTTGGTATGGAAGTCTGAAGAAGATTTTAGCAAGCTGAGTGGGAAGAAGGAAGTAAGAGAAGGTGAGGCTTGGACATGAGGGTTACAGGTGGATGAAATAGTACAGGCAAAGGCAGGGAGAGAAGACAAGTGTTGGGTGTGTTTGGGGGATGGCACATTCTGGCAAATGTTTTAATTTCCAGTTTATGAACAGTGCATTAAAAAATGCCATTTGTGGGGGCCGGCCTGGTGGCATAGTGATTAAGTTCGTGCGCTCCGCTTCTGTGGCCTGGGGTTTGCAGGTTCGGAGCCCGGTCGTGCACTGACGCACCACTTGTCAAGCCATGCTGTGGCAGTGTCCCATATAAAGTGGAGGAAGATGGGCACATATGTTAGTCCAGGGCCAATCTTCCTCAGCAAAAAGAAGAATTGGCAAGGGATGTTAGCTCAGGGCTAATCTTCCTCACCCCCTGCACCCCCGCCAAAAAATGCCAGTTGTGAATGAATGACAAATGGAGAAAAACCCATTTAACTTGATCAAAACCCACATTTATCAAGGCCTCCTGGAGATTCCCTTTCTATCGCATGGTTTCCTCATCTTTTCAGAGTTATGACTGGAACTTTCTTTTTCATTGGCTCCTTCTTGTATTTCTTAGTTTAGAGCATAGCTTGCTGGTATATTGGAGTATAAAGCCTTCTTTTTTTACATTAAAAAATTTCATAAATTCCTACACAATAGTAGTTGTACCTTCATTCAGTCTATAGACAATACTAATTACACGTAAAGATTAACTCTGGGTATCCTTTACCTTCCCATCCTGAGTCACACAGCTTAAGAATCACATACGGTTCTGGAGAGTGGACAAAATAGGTCAGAGAAGCTAGGCCAGGGAGAGTTGCTATTATATTAAGGTCAGTGTACATTTTGTTTGGTGATTTGGTGAAGATTTTTGTAGACTTGGAGACCTTTAACTTTTCATAATTGCTTTATGTATCTAAGACTGATATTAACCATTAGTTTTGACAATAAGAATTGCTTTGTTCGGAATATTTTTAGGTGACTAGATTTTACCTGAAAATGTTGTGGAATTAACTGAAAAATAAACTTGTTTTCCATCTATTAACTCTTTTTTGGGAATGAGACTCTTTAAAAACTGCTTTTACCATTATAAGTTAATATACTTTGGCAGTAGTATATTAATTGCTCAAATATTGGCTGGACAGAATTAATTAATTAATTAGATTCCAGAAGTGCTTGATAGGACCCAAGAGTAGTGTATGTATCAGCAGTTTCTTCTAAAATGATTAAATAAGTATCAAAGCATGCTAAGTTAGTTTATTATATATAAATCTACATGCATTTTTTGATTTTTTTCCTTTTCTTTTTTCTTCTTTTATATGCAGTTTCCGTGGAAAGAGATTTTAAAGCAACAGTCTCAAATAGTCAAAATACGACTATCTGTACACCTCCATTGACTTCTGTTTCTATAAAGCCTCAGGTTGGCTGTACTGAGGATTATTTACTTTCCAAATTACCATCTGATGGCAAAGAAGTACCATTTGTGGTGCCCAGGTTTCAGTTATCTTATGTTCAGCCCAGGACGCAAGGAACTCCTTCACATCTGGGAGAACTTGAAGGTAAACAATAGAATGACAGGGTTTAAAAATCAACATGCACTATTTAAATGCTATTGTTTTGCTCTTTTATGTCTTTAATATAATATCTTTAATTTTACGTTTCACTTTTATATGTTTTGCTCTTTCTGTAGAGGAATTTTAATGTACAGTATTTTTGAAAGGTCCCATTATGAACTTTAAAAACAGTATTACAGTATAGTGTTTGAGGGGAAAATTGAAATTTTCTAGTGGCTTACTTGTAAAGGAAAACTGAAATCAGAATATTCTTTTTTAGATATAGCCTAAAAGGTACTGAGTCCTCTTTGGTGCTACTACTCCTGACAATGCTGTTCTTGTTACCATAAACAGACTTTTGTAGCAGTGTTTGTGTGCTGAAGGATTTAAGTGTTAGCTTTGAAGGGGTACAGGCTCCTTATTAGGCTCTCTGGCATCATAGTTCCCTCTTGGCACCCCTCTGCCTATGTACCGTGCTTGGATTGTACACATAGTTATTTGAACCAGGGTGAGGATAAAATCTCACCTCATAATCCCATATTTTATTTTACTTTTCTGAACTCAGTGTGAAGCCACCTGTTTTATTGTTTAGCTTAATTCAGAAAATATTAGCTTGTACTGGGGGTTCTGTTTTAGATGGGACAAAAAGAATTAAAACATGCCAATAATTTAAACAAAAACCTTTATGTCTATATGTTATTTCCAGTGTGATTATTAGCTTTGAAGGAAATCTGATCTATCCTTTTTAAATTGTGAAATATAAAACACATATGAAAAAAAAAAGCAAAACAGAAGTATACAGGTCAGTGATTTATTACAAAGCAAAACATGTGTATAGTCCCCACTCTAGTAAAGAGATACAGTTACCAGCAACCCCAGAGCTTCCGTCTTGCCCCTTTTCAGTCACTCCAGAGTCATCGGTATCCCAAAGGTTATAATCATCACTTTCTTGCTTTTCTTACTTTTTATTACCTAAGCACGTATCCCTAAATGTTGTAGTTTCGTTTTTTCTGTTTTTTGACCTTTATGTAAATGAAATTACATATTCAGTATGTATTCTTTTGTTGTGAGTTCTTTCATTCAACCTTATATTTGTGAGATTCATTCAAATTATTAGTAGCTTCAGTTTGTTTTCATATTTGTACAGTAAGTGTATATCTGTTCTATTGTAACCTAAATAACATGATAGACAGTAGTGTTTGTGTATAGCATACTAAAAGGTGTTTTTATGTGGTAAGTATATACTACAGTTTACCTAGTTTACTGTTGATAGACATTTGAGTTTTTTCCAGTTTTTGGCTATTATGGATAATGATGCTTATGAACATTCTTGTACTTGTCTCTTGGTGCACATGTGCAAGCATTTCACTTGTGTGTATGTCCCAGAATGGCATTGTTGGGTCATAGGGTATAAGTATCTTCAGCTTTAGTAGAAATTGCCAAACTGTTTTCCACAGTGATTGTATCAATTTATGTTCCCACCAGCAGATAATGATAGTTCACACTGCTTTACTTTCTTGCTAACGCTTGCTATTGTTAGGCTTTTTAATTTTCACCATTCCCGTGAGTGTGTGGTAGTATCTCATGGACGTTCTAACTTACATTTCCCTCATGACTAATGAAGTTGAGCACCAGGTCGTGTTTATTGACTAATTGGGTAGCTTCTTTTCTGAAGTGCCCGCTTAAGTCTTAAGCCAGTTTATATATAGGCTTGTCTGTCTTTTTCTTATTGATCTGTGGGAGTTCCTCGTATATTCTAGGTATGAGCCCTTTGTCAGTTATATTTGTTGCACATATCTTCTTCAACCACTCTATGGGTTACCTTTTTGCTCTCTTAAATAGTCTTTTGACAAATGGAAAATTTCAATTTTAATGTAGTTCAGTTTATTAAAATTTTTTATTATTAGTGCTATATTCCATTTAAGAAGTACATCCTTGCCCTAAGGAAGTGAAAACTGCCTTATAAATTTACTTAAATATAAAAGTTTTATTGGTTTGCCTGTAACATTTACTTTAGATCTACAAACCACATGGAATTAGTTTTTTGTGAATATGTTTAGTTGGAATGAAGGTTTTTTTCCTATATCAATGTCTAATTGCCTTATCACCGTTTAGTGAAAAGACCATTCTTTCCCCACTGTTGTGCGGTGCCGTATTGATTATAAATCAAGTGTCCATAAAATAGGTGTCTCTTTCTGGGCCTTCTGTTCTGTTCCACTGATCTTGTGACTGTGCCAATGTTCTGTTCTTAATGTCCAGTAGAGCAAATCTTTCAGTCTTGTTTTTATTCTTAAAGGTTATCTTTTTAGTTCTTCTTGGTCCTTTTAATTTTGATATAAATATTTCCTATTCAATTTGTTATTTGATTTCTAACTTTATTGCATTGTGGTTAGAGAATATACTCTATATGATTTCAATCCTTTAAAATTTTTTGAGACTTGCTCTGTGTATCTCAGCATGTAGTCAGTTTTCATAAATGTTCTGTGTCTTTATGAAAAGAGTGCATCTCCAAAAAAAAGATAATCTTCTTACTTAAAAGATGTTCTTTGTGTAAGTAGAATAATAAAAGGAAACTTAGGTCACAAAATATAGAATTGTCTATGGGGCAAAGAAAAATGCCAAAAATTTACCAGGCTGTCTTGAGAGCAGGGTTCATGGCTGATCTCTCCCAGTTAGAGCTCAGTAAATGTGTGCTTATTTTTTTAGATACACGTGCATGTGATTCAGTGTTACTCGAGACAAAATTTTTTTGCCTTTGCCTTGGGTGCACCAGCTGTTGGCTAATAACTCTAAGAAAAGGATGTTGTAAAACTTGAGAAACACTTGCTTTCAGGATCTGCCAGAGCATCTTTTGGAGATCGAAAAGTAGAACTTGCCAGTTCCTTCCAGCATGTACCCAGCTATGACGTGTATAACCCATTCTATATGTATCAGCACCTTTCACCTGATCTGAGTCGGCGCTTTCCTCCTCGTTCAGAAGCAACGAGACCATATGGATCAGGTATGAAAAATTTTTTTTTCTCCTCTTTATGTTTCTCTTTAACAAATGTAAAAGTCAAATAACAAATGTAAAAATCAAATGAAATCTAAGACACTGGAAGAAATGATTCATGTTATGAAAAACAATTTAAAAATAAGAGAAAAGCAGGCTCTAGAAGTGATGTGATAAACATCATGACTTTTCCAAGGTATTATATCTAATGTAAAAATTGAAAGATTACTGAGTTATATGTGTTGGTAGTTCCAAATTCCATTTTATTGGTCCTTTTTTGAAAGAAGTTTTGTTTTCAGATTATTTTGTATATATTTTATATATCATCTGTCCATTCATAAATTCTGCAACAAATATTTACTAGCTTTTTTCTTTTCTGCCCTGTTCAGTGAAAATGATGAATTTGGAAACTCATGATATGATTAGAAATATAAACAAAGAAAATAGAAAATGCCTAAATGAGTTTAGAACTTTCTCAGTTTCATATTTGAGACCGTATCAGTTATAGTCTATCTTTTACATATCTGATTCAAAAAATTCTCACTGTTTTTCAGGTTTTTGATATATATAGTTAACCACTGAATTCAGGGTGAAGTACTGAAAATAAAGCTGAAGTATTTATTTCAGTATTTATTTCAGCACTGCACTAGAACACACAATTAGTATTCAGATTCTATTCTTCAAGGATTTTACACTTTAGGAGGGAAACTAGAAATACGGGAGCACGGCACTGATTTTTTTTAATGTAATAAGTGCTCATTAAATAGTTGAATTGCATTCAGCACAGAGGACTTACATCCTCTTAGATTATTCTTCTGGGATGAAGAATTGAGTAGCGTAAGCAGAAAGAATGAATTTTCCCTGCACGTTATTTGATGTGGATATGAAAATGTGTTGTTTGTTTATGTTGGTTTCTGTTTCAAATAAAAGTAAAATAATTGAAAAAAAATCTTTTTAACTTCACTAGAAGACTTTCTCTCTTAAATAGACTTGTATATAATATTCATGATATATTGCTATAGAGATTTAGTTCATTGTAATTAAGTAGAATTCCAGTGTTTCTTCTTCTTTACTATAAAAATAAGTAATTTTCTTATGTCCCTTTGTAGTTTGTGATTTAAGGCCCAACAAACTTCCCGGTTCCCCTGGGCTGAGCAGGTCTATGTTTGATCTTACCAGTTCACCTCAGCGGTTCATCCAGGTAAATTATTTATGTAAATTTAATTATATGTGATAATTTATTTTCAAGCTAAAAATTCAAAAATGTGTGAATTAGGAACAACATGTGTATCTTTTGTAGATGTATCTATTCTACTATCTGCCTTATAAACTCTTGGCATTTCCCATGTGCATTATTTTAGGAGGCTCTCGGTTGAATACTGGAAGGCGGTAATTTTTTCTTTCGTTTGTATTTTTGTGAACCCTATGTCTCTCAGTTGGTGTGCGCTCAGGCAGTCTTGAGGCAGTTGGAATTTAAAATGATGTAGTTAAAAGAGCTTATTGATTTAACTTTCCTTATTGAACATAATTACCTGGTTAGTATTTCTATTGAGATGTAAGACTTTATTCATTAATATCAACACAGTATCCTCCTATTTTTGAAATAGAATTGAGAATTTTTTGATATTTAAAAAAAGTGTTTCTTTTTTAATACAAGTAAACCGTGATAATTATTAAAAAATTAGAAAGTAGACTTAAGCAAAGTAAAATGACAAATCACCTATATTTCTATAATTGAGAGTAGAAGCACTATGAAAATATTGTTATATATGTTTGTGGACTTTTTCCCATGTGAATGTATAAACATATATTTTGTTAAAATGGAAGTGTGTTCTAAATAATCCTTAATTATCCTCCGTTGAGTTAATTTTTTGCAAACTTAATTCTTTATAGCACCAGTTCTTTAACATGCATCAGAATTGTTTGGAGAGCTTGTTAAAATACAGATTGCCAGGCCTCATCTCTAGAGCTTTTGGTTCAGTAGCTCTGCAGTGGGGCCTGAATTTGTAGTTCTGGCATGTTTCCAGGTGATGCTGAGACTCCTGGACCACAGGGACCATGCTTTGATAACCGCTGCTGTACAGGTTTTTAGGTAACAGGGCACTTCCAAATATATTCTGATTTTTATTAGTACTTTCAAGTGTGAAATATAAGCAGTAATTCTCTTCCTCCTTATTACAAAACCAAACCAAGAACAGCAAAGGCTTTCCCATATTAAGATATTTAAGATTTTTCTGATAACCACGCAAAAGGCTTTTTTCCTCTTTACTGTCTAAAAGTGGGAAATTCTGATCAGTAACACTGTCAGAATGGTTAGCATGCAGTTTGTTACTAGGGTGGGTATTGGGGCATAAATTTCAGAATCCTTAAAATTTGATATGCAATTTCTGACTAAAGAAGAATTTTATTTGTAGAGACATGATTCATTGTCCAGTATGCCCAGTAGTTCTTCGTCAAGGAAAAATTCTCAGGGGAGTAACAGAAGCCTGGGTAAGGAATAAAGTATCCTATTTTTATATTCTTAAGGGAATTATTTCTACCCAATATTAATTTGAAAGTACATATGGTAAGGTAAAAAAACCTCTAGATGATTATATCTACATTGGCAGTGTTATCTGCATATGAGTACACAGATCAGATGGTCCATTTTTTAGTGTTCAGGCATGAATGCATCTTTAAAAAAAGGGAGGCAGTTAAATATCTTTTGTTTGTTTTAAAGTATATTAGTGAAGGAACTTCCTGAAACATACAGTATTAACCCATATCAATGTTATATGGGAAGGTTTTTCTTAGTTTTAACGTAAATCCCTCAGGGTATAATTAGGTTAAGTTTTTAAGCTGTGTACTTTTTATGGTATATCTTCCCCCTAGCACTTCAATAAAAACATTGAAGTGTGATTTTTGTCTTATTAAATTGGCAATTAAAAAAATTGTAGCATTTTTAATTGTGTTCTTAAAATTGGATTGTATCAAAGCTTGATTGGGTTAGAAAGATTGCCTAGCATTTCAAACATCTTTGTCCTTGTACAATTCAGATACAATTACTCTATCAGGAGATGAAAGAGAATTTGGGAGATTGAATGTGAAAGTGTTTTATAATTCTTCAGTAGAACAGATCTGGATCACAGTTTTACGGGTAAGTTAATTAGTTAATACCAACTTTTCTTACAAAGTTGAATATTTAGACATTATGAGCATCTGCTGTTGCTCTCTTCTGGAGAATGGAGCCAATACCTTCTTTGGAATTTAGGGTTCTTCAGTATTTTGCAGAAGATAGTATTTAATAAAGAATCTAAAGAAAATAAATCTGTAGGTGTGATGGAAGTTTATTTGTTTTTAACCTCAAGAAGGAAATTGACATGGTGTCTAGAATGTTAAATGTCAAGTTATTTTAATGTAGATGAAACAAGAGGTCTCAGTGGACTCAAGTTTACTGTTATAGTTTTTATCTGAAGTCATTAACTCAAGAAATACATCAAATATTTATATTGTCAGTGTCCTTTGTAAAATTCAAACGTATTTTTAATTTTTTTAGTGCAGAGATTTAAGTTGGCCCTCTAGTTATGGAGACACTCCTACTATTTCTATAAAAGGAATACTAACATTACCCAAACCAGTGCATTTCAGATCTTCAGCCAAGGAGGCCTCCAGTGTAAGTAGCTGTTTGTGTTTGAATTTCTTTTTATGTTTTTCTCGTATTTGTCACTTTAACCCATGTAAAGAATTGGAATCAGAAAGTGGTTTATTTTGGGGAAACTACAAATTGTGTATCCCTTGCTTTTTAAAGACAATTTTGAGCCTCAAAAATATTTGATATTTCATTGTCCAGTATTCATACATTTTAAAAAGAAAATCTGAATCACTAAAATATGTAGAAAATGAATAATATCTAAGAAAACTACTTTTTTTGTATGAAAGGAAAATAATGTCTATATTTTCATCCTCTCTCCCCCCACCCTACTTTGGCGTTGAGAAATAATGGCATGATTACAATTAGTTTCTTTTGAATACTTCCAATTATGATAGCTGGAAGACTTAGAATTCTGAGTTTGGTTTTATAGATTCTAGATTTCACATTAACTTAAATATATCTTCATTTCTATCTGCTGATATGGATTGAAAGGTTAGTATTTTTCCATGCAAATGAAAGGTATCTTCTATAAGAACATATGTAAAAATAAGGTAATTCAAATGACTAATAAACATGAAAAAAAATCTATTCTCACTAGTAATCATAGAAATACAAATTTAAATTACATGTTACTTTTTCTTTTCAATCTTTCATTTTTTTCTTTTTTTGCTTATTAAAATTAGGAAAAATTTTACAAGTACTCTAGAACACACAACTTTCTGGAAATTATTTTGACAATTCACATCAAAACCTTAACATATTTATACTTTTTATCATAGTAATTCTACTTGGAATCTGTTCCATGGAAATAATCTGAAACACAAAAAAGTGTATATATATGTAAAGTATTCTTGGCAGTTCTGTTCATAGTGGAAAAATTGGAAACAATCTAAATGTCTCCTATAGGAGAATGGTTGAGAAAACTCATGGCATACCAAGTGTATTAGTTTCCTAGGGTTTTTGTAACAAAGTATCACAAACTAGATGGCTTAGAACAACCGAAATGTCTCTGTCGCAGTTTTGGCGGAAGTCTGAAATCAAGGTGTCAGCAGTGTTGGTTCCTTCTCTGAGGGAGAATCTGTCCCATGCTCTTCTAGCTTCTGGTGATGGCTGGCAATCCTTGGTATTCCTTGACATTCCTTGGATTCGCTCTCATCTCAGCGTCCATCTTCATATGGCGTTCTCCCTGTGTCTCTGTGTTTTCACGTGGCCATCTTCTTATGAGGACACCAGTCATATTGGATTAGGAGTCTATCTATTACAGTATGACGTCATCTTAACTTCACTAATTACATCTTCAATGACCCTATTTCCAAATAAGGTCATATTCTGAGTTACTGGGGGTTAGGACTTCAACATATCTTTTTGAGTGGACACGATTCAAACCATAACACCAAGCGATAGAGTACTAGGAAGCTATGAAATAATGTTTAGGAAGAGTGTTTAAGGAAATGGAAAAATGTTCTTAGTAAGTGAAAAGGCAGTAATCAAAATTGATGTATTTGTATTAGCATCTCACTTTACGAAGATGTGGATTATAGAAAGTCTAGATGGAAATAAATCTTAACTCTGGTTATAATCCTGACACTCAGAGATGAATACTTCCTGAGTTAAATAATTTTGCTTTTTGATTTTCAAATAAAACTAAGTTAGCTTAGGAAAAGTTAGGAAAAAAATGTTCTCCCGTTGAAACTTGCATGGAATCTTACTTTTAAATTTTATTACTATTTATCAGGTTGTTTGGGAAGACCCCTATTGTGGCAAAATGTGAAGTAAACCAGCACACTTGCTTCATTTGTAAGCTCATTGCATCTGAGTTTAAAAATTAAACATTTTATGTATACTGTATTATTGGTGTGATCCTATGGTTTGAGACTCTGAAAGAAAAAGATAGCTTAAGTGGTTGGGAAGTTCTCAGAGACACAATTCTGACTACACAGACATAAGCAATTATAATAAAAGTGAAATTTGGGCACAATATTTAAAATATTGATATTATTTTGCCTTTTCAAAAGGCAAAAAAAGCTCCTTTTTGAACAGATGCTGTAAAGATGGAAAGAAGGAAGTGTATAGCAAAGAACAGTCTAGTGTCAAAAGGGTGTTAGCCCATGGTAAACCAAGGTTTTAAAAATATTAAAAGTAACAAAAAGAACATTTGAAAATATTCCGAGCATGGAAGACACTGACTTGCTACCTGGGGTGGATGCTTATAAGAGAAGGTAGAACTTTAAATTTATATTTTCCTTTGTCTTCTCTATCAAGGAGATTGATTTTGAGATTGGAAAGAGTGGAACGAACATCACCAAAAGAGAAATTGAAGCCTCACGTAGATGGGAAGAACATTAGACAAAGAATAGCTCCTTTAAAGAAATAATTCAAGTCTCTTAACGTGAACAAGTTAGATTTCGGGTACTGAGAGAGCTCACATGAGATTCTCGAACCACTCTTTTTAACTGTTGAAGAATTGTGAATGGCAGGAAAGATGCTCCAGAACCAAAGATGGAAAACACCCTCATTTTCAGAAAGGGAAAAAACTATATTCTGGTGAACTTGGTGTTGATATTGACTTGAATTCCTGACTAAGTAATTAAAAGGATGATTTGTGAAAGTAAGAAAGGTAGTATCCAGGATAAATTCTGGAAAAATAATTCATGGCCATTCTCATTTTCATTTATATTAAAAAATATTTTTTGTTGTTGTAAAAAAATTAAATCTACCTTTCCTAGATTATAAAATGTTATTTTTGTTTATTTTGTATTGGCATATCACCCTTTTTTTCCAGTCCTTTTATTTATATATTTTGTATTTTCTTTTTTTAGACTATTGAATATATGGAAACTTTTGTATTTGCCATTAAACTCCAAAATCTACAAACTGTAAAGCTTGTATTTAAGATTCAAACCCAGACTCCCAGGAAGAAAACCATTGGAGAATGCTCACTATCACTCAGAACTCTTAGCACACAGGAAATGGATTACTCTTTGGAAATAACACCACTTTCAAAAATTTCTGTAAGTGATAGTAGTATGTAATGTTAAAAGTATTTCATACTTTTAGAATCATTTAGTGGGTGAGTTTTTGTTGGAGTGTAATTTGAACCCCTAGAATATATTAGAGGATCAGGAAGGCTCTCAAGAAGCAATAATAATAGTAATAACAATGTTATTGTTTAATAATATTTTTAAAATAATTGATAAAAGGTTGACAGAGCCCATTTTCTTTCTTCATTGGGAAATAACCTTAGGGTTACCTTTTTCTAGTACATTTTTTATTAATGTTTCATTCTTCAAGGGAAAATAACCCTGAAGTATGAAGAATTTTAAATTATTAATTAATTTTTTTTTAGTTTTTTAATAGCTGATAACTTAGTAAAAGCAAGAAAGAATCATCAACTCCAAACTCAATCAGAGACTGCATTGAAATAGATTAGAAAGTTGTTTTAATCATGACTAAGCTGTATATCTGTCCATAAATTGGGTAGAATGGAGGTTCTTACAGCTGGTGTTTTTTGTAAAGAGCTTGATTATCTATAGTGCTGATTGATTTTTGAGATCTGATATTTGTTTCTCTTAACTAGCCAGGTGGACATTGTCTTTAAATTGTTTAGAAATCCCTAGTAATTTAATTATGTAGTTTCTATGTTGGGATAACATTTATAGAAATCATTCAGAAGCTTTTATAATAAAAAGTCAAATCTCTGTGATTTTAAATTTATATAGAGTTCATATTTTACCTGCTTTCAAAAAATTTTAAGGTGACAAAGTAGTTCTTAAAAGAAGAGCTTTTGGGCTGTGCTGGTCCAGTGATTTTATATGACTGAATGTGAATGTTTCATATTATTGGCTAAAGCAAGAATAGTATGCTTTGTTTCCTGAGTTGAGGAGGAAAATTGGTATTCTAGTTGTGACATTGAAAGAGCCAGACTTACATACCCATCCTCCACGCTGACAACTATTTCACCATGAGCAGCAGAACTTTCATATAGAGCTAATAATTTCTTCAGTACTAAGTTCTTGACCTTGACAAATAGTAATGTAAGTATGTTCCTGAGAACCCGAATTTCTGCGTTGAATAATATGGAAGAGACAAGGTTTGCCTGCAGAAATAGCTGACGTTTGTAGAGACTTACCATACAACTGACTTGGTCCTAAGTGATTTAATGCTCACAGAAAACTTATGAGATTGCTGCTTGTTACCCCTGTTGTGGAGACCAAGACATTGAAGCACTTGCCTGAGTTCATACAGCCAGTAGTTAGGGAGCCAGGATGTGAATGAAGGTATTCTAATTCCAGAGCCAGCTCTCTTAACTCTGCCGTGTATTGCCCCACCTAAGAAGATATTCTCAAACATCATCAGATCATGGTTTTCTCTAAGTATGCTTAACATTTCACTGTCAACAATTCTAGGAAGACCAATAAAGTTTTCCTTTCTTTAAAAAATGATACATTGTGGGGGCCAGCCCCGTGGCCGAGTGGTTCAAGTTCTGCGTGCTCAGCTTATGTGGCTGGGGTTCGTAGGTTCGGATCCTGGGCGCAGACCTACTCCACTCATTGGCCGTGCTGTGGAGGCATCCCAACATACAAAAGAGAGGAAGATTGGCAGAGATGTTAGCTCAGGATGAATCTTCCTCAAGCCAAAAAAGAGGAAGATTGGCAACAGATGTTAGCTCAGGGCAATCTTTCTCACCAAAAAAAAGAAAGAAAAAAAAAGATACATTATTCAGGAGCAGAGATCATATCTTCTATCTTCCACAGTTTTGTGCTCATTAAAAATGCACTTAATGCATACCTACTAGTTGACTGGAATTTTAATTTTGGTTATTATGAGATTGAAAACCACTTTGAATAGTTTTTCATGATCTGAATTAATATCCTGGAACATAAATTGAATTTGTGAAATAACTTTGGCAAGAAAGAAATGGTAAACCCTTTACCAAATGCTGCTCCGTTTTATGAGAGTGAACTCTACAAGTATGTAACACTAAGAAAAATTTTGCCACCTTTAAGTGTTTTTATAAGTGTTATTACATTGTGGGTACAAACCATAATAAAAAAATTAATAAAAAATTTTTATCCATGATTTTCTTTGTGTTTTGTAAACAGTAAGTAACTATATATCTATATTTTAAAGCTTCAGTACATGGTTGTGTATCCTACTTGTTAGTTTTAGTTCTCTATGTGAGCTGCCACCACAGTATGTTCACTGACAGATGGGTGGTGTGGTTCCTCGACCGGGAAACGAACCCAGGCTGCGGCGGGGAGAGTGCCAAATCTTAACCACTAGACCACCAGGGCTGGCTCAGTAACTGTATTTTTTAAGTGTATTTTTTAAAATGCCAAGGACAGCAACATTTTTTTTATTCAGCATGGGTTTTATTTTATATATGGCTACTGAATTAGTTCATGTGAAAAGATTTATTAATCCATTCTTATTCTGATTAAAAGCAAAAGCAATACATTCACCTATTGATTAGAATTCAGCATTTTTTGCTAAAATAGACACGTGTTACCATCATTTTAGACTTTTCAAGGGGGACTCTAACCTCAACAGTTGAGTTTATACTTTTAAGTGACTCGCTTTTCACTGTCTATCTCTTGATTTCTTAGGCATGACCAATTTTAAAACACAGAATCATGTTTTTAAGACAATGCCCAAGATTCAGTCAATGGCATGTACATAGAAAGGTTCTTTTTTAATGAGCCATGAGCCAATTATTGGGGAATACTGAGCAATTATCAAATATAAAATCAAATGAAGGGGCTGGCCTGGTGGCGTAGTGGTTAAGTTCACGCACTGCGCTTCAGTGGCCCGGGGTTCAAGAGTTCAGATCCTGGGTGTGGACCTACGCACCGCTTGTCAAGCAATGCTGTGTCAGGCATCCCACGTATAAAGTAGGGGAAGATGGGCATGGATGTTAGCCCAGGGCCAATCTTCCTTAGCAAAAAGAGGAGGATTGGCAACAGATGTTAGCTCAGGGCTAATCTTCCTCACCAAAAAAAAAGAAACACCAACTGAAGCATCATTCACCTGTTTTGTAGCTTTGTTGGAATCAGTGCTAGCAAAGACTTTTGTGTCTATGCTGAGCCCTAGTGAGATCCGTTAACATTATGTTCATGCTTTATTCCCATACTTTTGCTTTTGAACATGTGGACAGTAATGTTTTTGTGTTTGGACAACTTTATGTTTCCCTCTTTTATTTTTCGCTCCAAGGACCTTGGAATCCACATAAGCAGGCTGGCTTGTGTTCTGTTTCACAGGCAAATTACCAACTTTCTTCTGCTGTTAGTCGCAGTACTGAAGAGCACATTTTAACGTTCCCCCTTTCTGCATCTCCTTCATTTTATTGTTTGCCTCGGGTTTTTCTTTGACCTTTTCCTTATTATTTCCTGCCTTGTCACTTTCATTAGCTTCCTTCTTGCCAACTCTCTTCTTTGGCCTGCTTCCATTCAGCATAGTAATTCGGCTCTTAATCCACACATCTGTTCGTTGCAGTAATCCTTTGTCTTCTGATTTTGGTAACATCTACTCTGATTTCTACAGTTAGAAAGAATAATGATGATTCTCACGTATAACATTTTTTATCATATTTTATATGTTATTAAAAAGTAATTCAAAAGGCTACATTTGTCTTTTGAAAGTGTACTCTTTTGGTGTTTATTTCACTGACATTTTCTCTAGTAAAACTCCTTAGGAATTTAATTAGGTTTTAATTTGAATTATCTTTTGGTCTCCCTGATTTTGAGGGGTCGGTATGTAGATGTAACTTGTACTTTCAGAGTTCATGAAAGTGAGTACCTCATATCTACAGAATCCATGACATTTATCTTAACCTTCTCTTACACCGTATAGCTTTGTGTGTCAATAAAAAGCAGTAGGTTCAAAATTTCTAACCTTAGGTCTTTATTTTTGAATTTTTGAAATATCCCAAAACTTTGTTCTTAATTACCAAATGACTCTTTTTTGATATGCAGGTTTGCCGTGCAGAACTTGAATTGGGAACTTGTTTTCAAGCGGTAAATAGCAGAATTCAGTTACAGATTCTTGAGGCACAGTATCTCCCAAGCTCCTCAACACCTCTGACTTTGAGTAAGTGTATCAGTGGTTTGAAGTGAAATCTTCAGAAAATATTAGTAAAAGATAGTTTTTCCTACATTTCTTACAATGGAGATTAAAATCTCACTTTTATTGTTTAACTTAAATACTTATCTTTTATTATTTAACTTAAATACTTACCTTTTAACTTAAAAGTACTTTATTGGATTTCAAATTTTAGCCATCGTGTCTACCTTAATCCACTGATCTCTTGACTCTTATCCAATTGTGACCTCTCTGCATTTGATACTATTCCTTCTTTAGCTCTTTAGTTAAAATAGGTTGAGTGTCCAGAGGGCTGTCAGATGTTTCACCAGCCTAGATAATTTATCCTCTCTCCAGGTCTGTGTCCTTTGTTGGATACTCTGCTAACTAGAAACAATTTAAAAAAGCAAAAATATCAAACACACACCTTGAAACACTTTTCCCTCCCTGCACCTTTGGGCACAACCAGGGTTTCTGGTACTTTGGTTGTCTAGGCCTGGTTCACATGGCTGCCCCTCAAGCTGGAGGTTTGAGGTCAGTCCTATCTAAAGGGCTAAGAGTGGGATAAGAGTGCTTCTTTTTCCTGCTAGAAGAAGAGAAAATATCTGGAGGCAGGCAAAAGCAATGGATGTCCACTGTAACTACCAAGACTGAAAATAAATGCAGTTGAGCTCACGAAGCTAGAAAAACAACAGCAGACACATAGGAAAGGAGAAGTAAGCAATTAAAGCTAAAGTTGAAGTTAATGAATGTGGAGTCAACAATAGAGGACATAATCAATAATACGGAAAGCGTTTTCTTTGAAAAGATCATTAAAATAGAACCTATGGTAGGTTGGATCAAACAAAAAGAAAACACGAATGATATTCTGAACAAGAAAGAGGATATAATTTCAAATTCAGAAGAGATTCAATAATAATAAGGCAGTACCATTTATAACTATACCAGTTCATTTGAACATCTATATAAAATAAATGATTTTCTAGGAAAAAAATTGCTGAAATTCACTCCAGAGAGAGTGAATCTGAATAAAACAGTAACTGTGTAAAGGTAGTTAAAGAACTGCCTTTAATAAAAGCACTAGCCAACACGATTTTACTGACAGATTCTACCAAACTTTCAAGGAGCATGTAATTCCTATTCTATATAAGCTGTTCCAGAGCATGGAAAAAGTAACTTTATGAAGTTAACATATTTTTGATATCAAAACAGAAAGGATGGCACATGCAAAAAGTAGCTATAGACTACCATCTCTTATGTAGATAGATGGAAAAATCATAAAATAAAAAATAAGCCAATAAAGTCCAACTTGGCATTAAAAGAATAAATTACCAGGACTACCTAGGGTTAGTTCTAGGAAACAAGGACAACAGTAGAAATCTACAGATGCAATTCATTACGTTAACAGGGGTGTTCCTTTAATCAAAACTGCCAATCAGGCTTACTGGTGACCTCCATATTATAAATCTAATGGCCAGTCTCAGTCCTCTCTTTGCGGCTCCCTCCTTTTGGAAATCCCCTCCTCGCTCTCTTCCTGCCCTGGCAGCCCCAGCCCTATCCTCTGACTACTCAAATCTGTCAGACTGCACTCTCTGCTTGAGCTGTAGGCACTGTGTATCAGTCAGACTCAGGAGTGTGCTTAGGTGACAAAGCTCTATACACCTGAATTTTGCCCAATACCGTTCCCATCTTTTAAGAGTTGACTCTCCTCCAATTTCTTCCTGCTTTTGGTCAGTCTTCAGTGTCCTGAACAGTTGTTTTTTATATTTTTCCCAGAGTTTGTAATTGTTCCCTATGGGAAGGTTAGTTTGTACAACCTATTGTACTATTTTGCCATTACTGGAAGCTCTACATCTCAAATTTATTTAAAGAATAGATTTTTCTCTAGTGGGTGTATGTGTAGCTTCTGGAGTCTCAAGCAGAGAATTTTACCCGCATAAAATTGTGAAGTAAATTCCCCTAGCTGTCCAAAGAGCTGGCACCTCTGGTTTGTACAGTCCTTTTCAACGTGTGCTGCTTTGTTATTTATGCCTGCCGTTCCAGTCTTTAACGACATTCAGGTTAGAGGAAGAATAAATTCATTTGAGGTTACAGTAGTTATTTGTAAAGTGTGATAAAAATTACAAAGTTTACTAGAGAAGTTTTCTGTTATGGCAATAGCTCATCAGATCTTTAAAAGTGGCTTATTTGTATTTTTACAACAAACATAATATATAGATATATATCTTTATATGGCATTTAAAAAATTTTATGTATCAAAATTTCTTGTTTTTTAGGTTTTTTTGTGAAGGTGGCAATGTTTAGCTCAGGAGAGTTGATTTATAAGAAGAAGACACGCTTACTGAAGGCCTCCAATGGAAGAGTAAAGTGGGGAGAGACTATGATTTTTCCGCTTATACAGAGTGAAAAAGAGATTATTTTTCTCATTAAGCTTTATAGTCGAAGCTCTGTAAGAAGACGACACTTTGTGGGGCAGGTTAGTAGGGAGTTTTTATCTTGAATTCTTTCCTTTCACTTTTCTATGCATCTAGAAAAGTTGGTTAACAGAGAGAATATAGGATAAAATTAAAGTTGAATATAGTAAAATTCTTCAGTATCATAAATTAAAATTCAATGTTGCCACAAAAATTAAATCATGTCACACTTTTTGCTTTAATACAAATAGTTGGAATTTCTGAGCAATCAGGCTTCTTATCTTAGGTCTTTTCTGAGCTTTTCAACTTTAAAAACTATAAGATCAGTTTTTCGGTACTGCTGACTTGTTCCTTGTGAAGGAGGGAACACTAAGTATTTAAATCAAATTTATTAAGGCTTCAGATATTCAACTTATTTTATTCTGTTTCATGTTCAATTTAATGTTTTAACTCTGTATGCTATTAACTGAATTATTATAGATTTGAATTCCTAGAAAACATCCATTTTAACAGCAGTTGTGGTATTATTTAGATAGTCAATATAGGTTCTGGATTAATCTATTAAAAAATTCTTAGAAATTTATATAAGACAACATAACACTTACTTGTCAATCCTATAGGAACTTGTTTTCTTTTGTAGTTTCTTTCCTTACTCTGAGTGGATTAGTGGTACCTGTCCATTGTCTTTTATCTTAATTACAATTGTTTGACTCACATTTAAATTCCAGAATCTACATTATTGGTTTAAAAGCTTCTGCTTGACAAGATGTTATTAGCAGTCTACATAAAATCCTCAAATTATATGTGAATTTTCAAAGATTGATGTTAACTCTTTGACTCACTTCTTCGTATATTTTACCTAAAATATTTGTAAAAAGTATTCTAGTTTTGTTGTTGTTCATTTATTCTTACTTGGAAAAGAATTTGAAGTTAAGGATTCATATAACATACTTTTCAAAACCAGGAGGCCTATGAAGTGAATTCAGTTGAAGTTTTCCTGTCTCATCAAGCCTCAACTATCATGTAAGAATAGAATAGGAGATTTACTTGAGAAATGATTTTCAGGGTAACTGTTTTGGTGATTCCACTCTTTTGGTTGAGATCCTAGTGAAGAATAATAATTCTGGAAAGTTTCCTGCTGGTCATCTGTTCCCTACAGCTTGTTTGGTAGCCTTAGGAGCCATCATGATGGGCTAGCCACATATGGAATCAAGGTCTCCCACTCCTTTATCAATTGAAGCACTCTATTGTTACCTATTTATCTATTGAGGTTCTCTGTAAGATTTTATTTGAAGGAAAAGTTCTTCAGACCAAAAAATTAAGGGAAAAAAGTTTGAAAACCAGTGACCTGCTCCAATTTCTTTATTTAAAAGAATTAGAAACTGAGTCTCAGAAGTGAATTCCAAAGTAACAGCATTTGTTAGTGCTATAGCTGAGATGAGAATCCAGGTTTTTTGATTTCTTGTCCACCTTACCTCCATGATCTATAACCATTGTGGTATCTTACATTTGCATAATACTTTACAGTTTTCCCAAGTTCATTCACATCTGTTATCTAAAGTTACATAAATGATAGGTACTACAAAATTATTTACTATGGATCAAGAATGACTATTAGATTTCCATTAAAATTACAGTTTTATTTAATGTAAAAGTACTTTAAAATGCATGTTACTTACCAATCTAAATTAAATCATGATTAGTCTCAGTTAATCTTGACAAAAATGTTTTTGAGTGACCAGGATCAATTTTAAGTTGAGCTCCTAGATTTATTGAATAAGAAAGGAAACTAATAACTGTTTTGGGGGAAATGATTTTGTAATATCTCACATTGAATTTTTAAGTTGAATTGGATCATATAAAATAGTCTTAAGAGTAACTAAATAGGTTAAATGTTTTAACATTTAAGTTTCAAGTAGAGAAATCAAACAAACTTTTAGAAAAATGGAAAGATGTTTAATTGAAAATATATAAACCAAACTTCCAGTTGTCTTTCATCAATAAGAGTAATTAACTGTTTGAACTGAATTACCATTATTGTGTTAAGTTAAATGATTGTATTGTTCCTTTACAGATTTGGATAAGTGAAGACAGTAATAACATTGAAGCAGTGAACCAGTGGAAAGAGACAGTTACAAATCCAGAAAAGGTTGTTATCAAGTGGCACAAATTAAATCCATCTTGAAGACTTCACACATTCATTTGGTGAAGAACTTGACATTCTTTTAGAAGACTTATGGTTTCAATTTGCTACCAGTAAGAAGAGACAAATTAATACATTTGTCAATTCATTTATGGAGCCATAATTATAGTATATAATGGATCTGATAGAAAATTAAACTTGATAAAAAATGGGATGAATTATATCAAATATCCAAAGTAAAGGGATTATTTTAAAACTCTGCCAAAATAGACAATAAATAAAATGATATAGTATTACTAGCTCAACTAAATAAATTATAAAATCAATGAGAATATCAACCATAGATAGTTCTTGCTATATTATGTTTATGGGTTTTTTTTAAGCTTTACCTAGATATTCAAAATCTAGTATATCAAGTCTCTGTTAGTACTTGTAGACATTTAGAAGACTTTACCACTGACTGTTTGAGTGCTAGTCATCATTGATTAGATCTTGACCCTACTGTTTACCCCATGCTACATACTTTCTCTCAGAAGCAAAAGTAAATTGAACCACTTCAACTCTTCTGTATTTGAGGAAAGTTTGTGACCTGTGTTTATCATTTCTTACCTGTAAGGCATCACATTGCCACTTTGTAAGATATTTATCTCCAAGAAACTTCAGATACAGAAAACTACATTTTGACAAGAATAAATGAAAACACCAAAAGGTTGAAGTTTAATTGGAAACCCAGTATACACATATTTTGCATGTTTTCCTCCCTCAAATATTTTACTCTTTATTTTAATTGGGGTTGAAATAAGATTATCATCCATATGGCCCATCCTAATTAGCCAAATTAAATGAACTTAAATAACAAATTCAATATTTTTTGATAATCACTTCCTTGTTTTTAGTTTTTTAAATATAAATTGTTCTATAATCCACAACGTTGGAGTATTTTCCCATGTTTTTTAAATAATCATATGTGATGTAGCAAAAAAATATTTTCTATCGCAGTTTCTCTCAGGTACTCAAAATCAGTATGTGGGGATAATTTCAGTTTAGTTGGCCATACAAGCTATGACCAAAAGGAGCAGCTATTTGGAAAAACAAATAATGCCATCCCTGGTCTTGGAAAATTTGACTTTATTTTTGCTAACGAGTAGACCAAGAGCTCTGTGTTCAAGATCTTCCACTTTTCTTTCTCTCTTACCTTGTCCCATGCATGCCAAGAGATAGATGGTGATATTTTAGGCCAGAGTTATACTTGCTATAGCTTAAGCATGACCTCTTTATTTCAGTTCTTACGTTTTGTGTATCTCTTTAAGATTTTCCCAAAGAAACACTTAATTCCCCTTTCCTAGGTACCACCTCCTCAAGCTACAAAATGTACATACTTTGCATGCCCTTTGCCTCTACTGCTTAGAGTATATGGTATTCTGGTGGTGTTGACAGGTGTCTGACACTGTGCATTTTCAAAGAATTTTTTTTAGATTTGTGAAAAATGGTGTATTGGTCAGTATTTACCATGGATTTTTAAGAGAAATCACCTTGTGTGGTAGTGTTTTGAATCTTTGAGACAAATGGCAACTATTTAAAAAAAATTTTTTTGTAGACTTTATTCTTTAAAACAGTTTTAGGTTCACAGCAAAATCGAGAGTAAGGTGCAGAGTTCCCACACACCCCTTACCCCAATGTATGCACAGTGTACCCCACTATCAGCATCTCGCACTAGAGTGGTACATTTGTTAAAATCAGTGAACCTACATTGACGCATCATTATCACCCAAAGTCCGTAGTTTACATTAGGGTTCACTCTTGATGTTGTACATTCTATGGGTTTAGACAAATGCATAATGACGTGTGTCCACCACTATAGTATCATACAGGGTAGTTTCACTGCCCTAAAATCCTCTGCAAATGCGACTATTTTAATAGCCACCAAAGAAGTAAGTGTATTGGCTTTTAGATAATAAATGACAGACTTTATTGTTTTAAAAAATCTAGAATTTTATTTGAGCAGTTTTTTGTGTTCTATTAATGCTTTCAGTACTTAAATTTATTATATGTAGTCATGTATTTAACTCAATTTTTAATTATTTTATTTAATTTTTAATATTTTTGCAATATGTCTATAATGTATCATTTGAGGGGAAGCTATGACTTCTTGGTTTCTTGTGTGTCTTAGAATCCTAGGTGAATAAAACAATAAAAAGAAAACCTTTTCATTGAAAAGACCTTTCAGTTAGAGAAGTATTGACACAACTAAGATCCCAAATATGTCAATTAGTATTTACTTAAACTTTTTTTAAGTGAAGAGGTACTGAATACAAATGATATTCTGGTTGTTTCTTTGAAGCTTTACGTGGAAATATAAAAAGAAACACTCTTCTGTTAATAGCTAATATGAGAAAAAATTAGAAGCTGATAATAAAAAAGTGAGATACTATGCAAAAATCACTTCTCTTAGTATTTGCTTAGGCATTTCTTGATCTTTAGCCACTTACAAGAGGAGAACCAAAATGATGCTGGTTGACCACAGAAAGCCCTGGGAGGGTTCACGTTGATAGCTGACAGTTTGCACAGTGCTAATCCCTAACAGTGTATTTATATATAAGCTCTCAGATTAATACAATTAAACAACTGCAGCCCGTGTCAAAACATAACATCACTATTTGGCTTTCATTTGGTTTTGCATGATTTTTTTAGAACTAGAGAAATTACCAGTGAAGTGTATCAGTTCCAGCTCTTAACAGATTGTTAAGAAGGAACCAGTGGGATTTTGAACATATGTAATTGTGGTCTGCAAATAGCCTAAATTGGACTTCTGTTTGGATACAGTTAAGTGAATTTCTCTGACACTAATGTACTGAAACTATATTTCCCAACAAAAATCTGCTTTGTTTCTTTAATCAAATTGCTTATTCATGTTTATTTAATCAAATTGCTTATTTATGAAGGATTTCAGGAATTTGCAATAAATTTCACCCTTTTATATCATGGCAGTAATGGATATTTCAAAGATAGACATTTCCTTTGGTGTTTGGTAGGGTATATTGAAGGAAGTACTGGATAAAATATGTATCTAACATAGTTATGAGAACACTATTAGAGTTTTCCAGAGAAACAGGACCAATAGGAGATATATATCTGTAGGTATATATATATTTTTATTATGAAGAATTGGCTCATGTGTTTATGGAAGCCAAGAAATCCGACAATCTGCCACGCAAGCTGGAGACCCAGGAAAGCTGGTAGTCTAATTCAGTCCAAATTCAAAGGCCTGAGAACCAGAGGACCCAATGGTATAAATCCCAGTCTGAGAGCAGGAGAAGATATTTTTCCAGCTTAAGCAATGAGGCAGGAAAAAAGGGTCAGATTCCTTCTTTGCCTGTTCTATGCAGGCCTTCAACAGATTAAAAGATGTCCACCCACATTGGAGAGGGCAGTTTACTTTACTGAGTCTGCTGATGCAAATGCTAGTCTTGTCCAGAAACACCCTGGCAGACACACCCAGAAATAATATTTAACCCAGGCACCCTGGCCAGTCAAGTTGACACATAAAATTAACTATGATAGACACCTACTGGTGTTCTCTTGATGCTTCAGCTATAATTCTTGTCCAGCGATAAATTTCAAATGCTTGAAGTTTTACCTGAAACATTGAGTTGAGGAAAGAATGATGAAAAGTGGGTGCAAATGAAGTACCATGTTCATTTTGAAGTATAGATTTAAGATTAAAAAAGATATTAAAAGAGTTAATGTAGCCCTCCAAAATTGGGTTATATCTTGTGGGTGATGAATTGTCTGAAGATGAATGCTACCTACATTTTTATTAATTTCCTAGTGGAAAATGTTTTTTAACTTAGTAATAACTGATTTTTAAATTTTTTCGTATATAAAAAATCTGACCTCCAAAATAGCTATATTTTATTAGTTGTTAAAACTGATAACCAAGTTAAATCATATGACTATAACTATATTAACTATATGACTATATTAAATCATAGGACTCTAATAACAGCAATAGATGTCTGGAAAGAAAGTTCTATATGTCTTCTCGGGTGGCTAATAGGTATCTGATTCCCTGTTGAGCTAAATCACTGAATGAGATATGTGTTGTAGATGATAATGTTTATTCAGTCTTGATTTTCATATTCTCATGCTGTGGAATTTGTTTTCTGGGTCACCATTTTTTAGTTTCTGAGGCAGGATCGTAAGAAATATCTACCCTTCATGATAGGACTAGATTTATTTTAACAGAGATAAATTTAGTGGACTATGGCTCTTAATTATCTTTTAGTTTAATTTCTGGGTCTTATTCTTTCTTGATTATACAATGTGTGGAAACTTGATCTTGAAACACTAAATTTTTAAATGAGCCATTTTATATATTTAATATTAAATGCAAAAATATCTATATAGTTCTCCATGCAAAGAACGGTTCTAGGTGCTTTCAGGGATACAAAGATGAATAAGCCATGACTCTTTACTCTAGGGTTTTATATTCTAGTGGAGAAATAAGACAATATAAAGCAGAAATGTCGTAAAAAGCAGGAGTTGAGGTGTGGACAAAATGCTTTAGAGGCTCAAATAAAAAGTTAAATGCAGCTGAAGGAATTAGAAGAGGTTTGGTAAATCCCTGATCTGAAACACACCAAATCAAGCGGATTGGTAGCACTATGAATTCACGATCACTGAGTCTGCCTAACTAGCAATCTTACTTCATTTCTTTTGTCAGCTCTGACTCACTGAAAAACAGTTGATTCTTCCTTCCACTCTCTTCTAACCTTCAACCTACGTGCTCCTTTCTTTACTCTTAGTAAAAGATCTTATTTTGTGCTTCACAAAGAAAACAATGTCAGGCGTTCCTTCAACTTCCCACCATCTTGTCCGTGAACTTATTTTTACTTATATCCATCCTCTCTTGTGTTAAAAAGTCAGTCCTTGTGAATTCTGATCCAAGCCTTTCTGCTTTTTCAGGGATCTCATTGCATTTGTTATGCCTATTCTCTCCTGTTTCTTGAGCCTCTCCTTCTCTCCTGGATTCTTCTTATCATCATTCAAACCTCCTTGGTGCATGCGTGACTGTCTCAACGTACATTGGTGATGTGTTCAATGGAAAGGACTCAACAGATGTAATTTGGGGGGTTAAGTTTCTGCATTAATGAAGGAACCTCTGGAAACATTATATAACACAGGGGCAATGCAGCAGACTCCCGGTGTAGATGTCTTCTCAGGTCCCCAGAGATCCCCCTGGGACAGGCTACTGTGAATGAGTCTACCTGTGGCCAGTGAAGATTCCCAGAAGCTCTTTTTTCATTCTCACAGGAGTTTTTATTCTTTCCTCACTTTCCTTCTCCCACCTGACCATTCATTCTCAAGCATAGCCTTCATTTCTGCTTACTCAGCAGGTGTTAGTAACTAGCAGAAAATATTCCCAACAAATTCCTGAGTACTTACTAAGAATTTAAATGTAATTAGTCAATGAGTAGGAGGGTTTCTTTCTCAGCATAGCATCTGTTAGGTCACCTGTGCTTCAGACCTCTCTGTGGTGTATTTTCTTTCTTTTAAAAAATTCCTAGACCTCCCACCCTGTTCTAGATTCTGCCTTAACTGGTCTCCTCTTTAAAGATAATTTCTAACTGCTCTGTTCTTAGCCTATTCTCTTCAGTCTTCCATCCCCACCACTCCGCTGAACCTCTTGCCAAAGTCTTAAATGCTTTTCAGCTATTTTTTTTCGTTATTACTCATCAACTTTCTTAACAGTAGATCTCTCCCTCCTTGAAACTGTTTCTTCCCTTAGCTTTCAGGTCATTTTGCTCAGCTTGTTGTCTTATTACCTTTCTAGCCTTTCCTTTTCTTCCTTAGGTATTGGCTCATCTTTGTGCGCTTGACCTTTAAGAATTGGGGGTTCTTTAGGACTCAGTCCTAGGCCATCTTCTCT